AATTCTTGTAAGAGTTATAGCTATCAGGGATATGGCTTATACTGAAAGTTTATAGATGTTGTGTCCATTTCATGGACATAATAAAACTAGAAACAAAAAAATAAGGAAAAAAAATAAAATTTTAAAGGAAAGTAGGGCTCGTTGGTAATTCATAGAATTGCTATAAGAAATATCCAAATCAAAATAAATGCTGTAATAAAAAGTACACAAACGAGTAAAGTGATACTAGTTGGATAGATTTAAAAACGAATTTCAATCCATACTTTGGTTGACATTGTGATCCGTAGAATAACGTACAATATAAAAACTAAATAAAATTTATGAGTTTGTTTCTTTCCAATATTCGTGCTAAGCTACACAAGAGCTTTCTAATAAACTAGAGTGAAAGGCAGCTAGTGAATAGCACCCACCACCAACTCTTGGGTTACTCTACGCAAATAATGGGATTTGACTGTTGCTCTTATAATGCACTTTCAGATTCACAATATGGCATGCTAACCAATTGGCCATGCCTGGTCCACATTTATGAGACTTATTTACAAGGTACAGAGAAAGATAATTATTAAATTAACACATTGTTTGTTGCACTGAAACAAGCCAGCAGAGTGATGAAATCATTACTGGAAGTTGTTGTAAACTTTAAAAAGGTATTAAAAATGTGGGAAAACAAAGTATAACACACTTGTGGAAAATGAAGGAATTAACAAGTGGTTCTAATACAAAGTTTATAACATCCCAACATCTGATTATTAAAACTACCTCAGTCTACTCCTTACGATTTAATTTATGGGGTTCTGTTATCTTTATTGTTTTATGCTTTTTTATTTACTTTTACAAAACTCTTCAGTCACTTAACTCACTGAAGTTTAAATTGGTTATTTTTATTCTTTTAATCTTGTTTTATCTTAGGATATTCATCCAATCACTAACTGTCTAAAATGGAAATGTATCTTGATAGGTTTAAATCTATTTTACTCTGGTGAAACTATTCAGTTACCGATTGGTTCAAAATAAAAATCTATGTTTTTTGGTTAAATCGTGTTTTAACCTTGTGAAACTATCAACTCAATGAGTGATTCATTCAACCTGAAACTAACCTTAATTGTTTATAACATCTCATTAATCATGGATCGATTCGTCTTAAAACCTACCCTTGTTGGTGTTAACTCTGCTGTCCCCTGTGAAGCTGTCCAATCACTGTCAAAAGCTGAGAACCCAATGATAGACTCTAAAGTCAAAACTGGTATTAATTCAATCAAATTTCCTGACCGATCTTGCTTAGTGTTGATAACCATGGAGAACTGTATTAAAAGAATTATAATTTACAATCAAGATTCATTCTATGCGTAGTTGACAGTTAGGTAATTAATTTACATGACACATAAAAATGTATGACTTATTTCAAGTTTGTGAGTTTCCAAATGTATCAGTTTGTTGCAACATCTGAGATATCACTAGTCTTGTAGCAACATCTGACGTAGTACTAGTCTTGTAGTAACATCTGACGTAGTACTAGTCTTGTAGCAACATCTGACGTTTTACTAGTCTTGTAGCAACATCTGACGTTTTACTAGTCTTGTAGCAACATCTGACGTTTTACTAGTCTTCTAGCAACATATGACGTATTACTAGTCTTGTAGCAACATCTGACGTAGTACTAGTCTTGTAGCAACATCTGACGTATTACTAGTCTTGTAGCAACATCTGACACTAGTAATACGTACTACGTCAGATGCTGCTACAAGACTAGTAATACATCAGATGTTGCTACGAGACTAGTAATACGTCAGATGTTGCTACAAGACTAGTAATACATCAGATGTTGCTGCAAGACTAGTAATATGTCAGATGTTGCTACAAGACTAGTACTACGTCAGATGCTGCTAGAAGACTAGTAATACATCAGATGTTGCTACAAGACTAGTACCACGTCAGATGTTGTTACAAGACTAGTACCACGTCAGATGTTGCTAGAAGATTAGTAATTCATCAGATGTTGCTACAAGACTAGTAATTCATCAGATGTTGCTACAAGAATAGTAATACGTCAGATGTTGCTACAAGTACATCAGATGTTGCTGCAAGACTAGTAATATGTCAGATGTTGCTACAAGACTAGTACTACATCAGATGCTGCTACAAGACTAAGTAATATGTCAGATGTTGCTACAAGACTAGTAAGCTGCAAGACTAGTAATATGTCAGATGTTGCTGCAAGACTAAGCATCTGACATATTACTAGTCTTGTTGCAACATTTGACGTAGTACTAGTCTTGTAGCAACATCTGACATATTACGAGTCTTGTAGCAACATCTGACATATTACTAGTCATGTAGCAACATCTGACATATTACTAGTCATGTAGCAACATCTGATGTAGTAATAGTCTTGTT